CCCAAATTAGGTTCTGCTAAATGAAAAATTAAAGATGGTTACAAATAAATCTGGGAATCTGGGGTAACCTATTACACTAACATACTCATGCTAGATGACCTCATCTGTTTCTATTAGAGAAAAGGAAAGGGCAGAATAGGCACAACAGGGAGATGACTCAGAGAGGGCTCAGGAGGATAGCTGAGGTGGGTAGGAGTAGGAGACTGAAGGTGAGGCTGAAGATAGCTATAATGGCAGACCACCGCCTGGGCTGGCCTGACTCCCTCTGAAGTGCTATATCCTCTAACAGGGTCTTGCAGGAATGGAAAAGCCTGACAGGCCAAGCTAAGGTGATGGGCGGGGATGGGAGAATAGAAAGACATGAGCGTACACCCAGAGAGTGGGTGCACCCAGAGTTTGCTTTACTTATTTCTTAGTTATACGACAAAATCTTTTATATTTGACAAACAGACTACTGCAACTCTAGAGGTCTATTTTTGGCTTAAGATTATTTGCATTAAGTTTTTCAAAATGAAGTAATATGTTCATTATAAAATAAAAACCTGAAAATATATAAAAGCATGAAGAACATCATCTTTCAATCAACCACTCAGAAATAACTATTGTTATGTTATAACTCTCTTTTGGTTTTTCTTTTGTTTTTACTTTTTGAGGCAGAGTTTCACAAGCCCCAAGATGGCGTTTAATTCATTATGTAGTAAAGGCTGGCCTTGAACTCCTGATCCACTGCCTCTCTAAGTGCTGGGATTACAAGTGTATGCCACCATCCCTGTCAACCTCTGTTACTAGATTCTTCAACTTCCTTCCTATGTGTACATTTCTGAAAACTTAGAATGTGAAATTACTCATGAAAACACTCTATAGGTTACTATATGAAAAATGACATAAAATGTTAATGATCATTTTGTTTTTAAAGACAAATCATCTGGGCATGGTGGCACACACAGGCAGATCTCTGTGAGATTAAGGCCAGCCTGGTCTACATAGTGAATTCTAGGCAAGCTGGGGGATACAGGGAGATCCTGTCTCAAAAAACCAAAAAAAGGACTGGAGAGATGGCTTAGCAGTTAAGAGCACTGGCTGTTCTTGCAGAAGACCAGGGTTTGAATCCCAGCACCCACATGGCAGCTAACAACCATAGTAACTCCAGTTCCAAAGGAATCTAAGGTCATCTTCTGACCTCTGTGGGCATTTCACAACACAAGAGCACATAACATACATGCAGGCAATATACTCATACATGTAAAATAAAATAAAAACCAAAAAACCAAAACAGAACGAAACAAAGACACAAATCAGTAGAAACTCTGACTTTTACTTAATTTATAAAATATATAATACATGGTAAGTCTTTAAAGTCTATTACAAAGTCAAATGATGAGACTACTTGTCACAACCTATATCTTCACATACATTATGTATGTTATATATAATACATGTAATGCTGACTTTGTATGTTTTATTATCTACAATGAATATACTATTGATATTATTTCACTGAGTTTTAATACTTACCTGTTCTTCTAACTGCATTTTTCTTTCTGTCATTTGTTCTATGAGTTTATCAAGTTTCTCTAAAGATTTAAGATCATTTCCAACTTCCTTTTCTATGAAAGCAGACACATAGGAAAGAAGATCACCATCATCTCTACCTTCACTGACTTGCTCACTTCCAACAAGAGCTGCAATATTCACATCACCTGAAATAAAAGAACAGCAACTACTCAGTACCACCATGGAGTTAAAGAAAATACAAAGGAGGCCGGGTGTGGTAGTGCACGCCTTTAATTCCTGTACTCAGGAGGCAGAGGCAGGGGCAGACAGATTTCCATGAGTTCAAGGCCAGCCTCCTGGCCTACATAGTGAGTTCCAAGCCATCTGGGGGCTACAGGTAAGACCCTGTCTCAAAAAGATTTAAAAAAAAAAAAAAAAAAAAAAGAACATACAAAGGAGGATAAGCAAGGCTATTTAAAAAGATAAGCAAGTCAGCTTACTACATTTAAAAGTTCAGAATTGGGGGTTGTGATGGAGGAGCTCAGGGCTGGAGTACCTGCCTATGCACTAGGCCAAGGGTTTGATTCTCAGCACCACCAAAAAAGTTAATGATTAATTTTTAAATATTTTATTTATTATTATTTTTAAAGTGCATGAATGTATTGCCTGCATGTATGCAAGTGCACCCCTGTCGTGCAACACCTGTGGAGGTCAGAAGAGGGTGCCAAATCCTTTGGAACTGAAGTTTTGGACAATTGTTAGTTGCCATGTGGTTGCTGAGAACCAAACCTGGGTCCTCTAGAAGAGCAGCCAGTGCTCTTAACCACTGAGCCATCTCTCCAGGTCTAAAAGTTAATAAAGAGTACACATACATACTATATTGCTCACTATATAAATATATAATTATCTATTTGTAGATATAATGCTCAAAGGAATGCAACAAAGCAGTTCTTCAAACAATTATTACAAAATCCTGAGAGTTGAGAAAATTTAGAGCAAAGGAAAAATTACCAAAGTTACCTGGCAATCAGAGGTTTCAATGCCTAACTTCAAAATTGGCAAGAAACCAAAAATATGATCTAGAATAATACCAAAGAACTTCTCTGGTCTTAATATGTTTGGAAAGTAATATTGAAATATCTTAAACATATGGAAAGAAATGGTTATGCTTAAAACTCTTAACAGGTAGTTTTGTGGGTTTTTTTAACTTTTTTTTTTTAAATGTGTCTGAGTATATTGCCTGTATATATGTAAATGCACCTGTGTCAGACAATGTCCACAGAGGCGAGAAAAAGGCATCAGATCCCCTGGAACTAGAGTTACAAATGGTTGTTAGCTGCCATGTGGGTGCTGGGAGACAAACTCGGATCCTCTACAAGACCAGCCAGTGCTCTTAACCTCTGAGCTATCTCTCCAGCCCCTTTACTGTGTTTTAAAATTCATTTTATGTGTGTGTTTAGGCATGCATATTCCACAACACACAGATGGAGGTCACAGGACAACCTTCATGAGCTGATTCTCTCCTTCTACCATGTGGGTTCCAGGGATCAACCTCAGGTCAACAGGCTTGCAGCAAGTGCCTTTACTGGCTGAGCCATCTTGCCAGCCCCAGAGTAAGAGTTTTAGAAGCTTCAATATCATTAAATAAAGACATCTTTGTTAGAAACAGGAAATTAAACAAAGCAAGGACACCTACGAGAAAACATAAATTACTAGTTATAAAAGAGGCTGATGCAACCTAATTGTACAAACTGAGGTTCTTTCCACAGTCAATTAGCCAGCCCAATTTACATTGGACTTTTTTGTTGTTGTTTTGAGACAGGGTCTCCCTGTATCCCTAGCTGGACAGGAACTGGGTATGTAGACCAGGCTGGCCTCAATTGAGATCCACCTGCCTCTGTCTCCCTAGTGCTGGGATTAAAGGTGTGCACCACTGTACCTAACTAATTTACAGTGGACTTTTTCAGTGTAGTTAAATCAACTAACTTGGAAGCCTGAAGCCACTTTTTGCAAGAAGAGTGGTAATAGAGGCAACATTTACTTAACATCTATTAAAACAAACAATGCTGGGACTGGAGAGATGGTTCAGTGGTTAGTGCTGGCTGCTCTTGCAGAGGACCTGGATTTGATTCCCAGCATCTACATGGTAGCTAACAACCACCCATAACTCGAGTTCCTGGGGATTGATGCCCTCTTCTTCTGACCTCTGTGGACACTGCATGCACAGTTGTACTTTCATACATGCAAGAAAAACATATACATAAAATCAAAATAAATTTTTAAAAAATTAAAAGGAGAAACAAAAACAAAGAAAGCAATACCTAGTGAAAGTGGGAGCTGCTGTGTAGGTATAGTATTGGACTTTTCCTAGCTGAAAGCTGATCACTTCCTATGTCTTATACATCAGCTTTTCCATCCTCAGAGTTCTATCTACCTTCTTCCATTATCACAGGATGTTTACTAAGACATAGTTTAAGCTACTTCTAATTTTTTGTGGAGTGAAGCAACAGTACACAAAAAAGGGACACAAAAAATTTTCAACCTTTGTTCATACAAATTAAAAAAATTTTTTTACTAAATAAATGATCCACTTCAAAGCAATTAAATAAGTCAGGTATAGTGGTGTGCTTTTGTAATCCTAGCACTCAGGAAGCAGAGGCAGAAGATCCAGAGTTTACAGGCAACTTAGGCTACATAGTAAAATCCTCTCTCAAAAAATCCAGAAAGAAGGGCTGGAAAGATGGCTCAGCGGTTAAGACCACTGGTTGTTCTTGCAGAAGACCCGGGTTCGAATCCCAGCACCCATATGGCAGCTAACAACTGTCCGTAACTCCAGTCCCAAGGGATCTGACAGCCCCTTCTGACCTCCTTGGGCATTGCACGACACGGGTGCACTTACCTACATGCAGGCAATATATGCATACACATAAAATTTAAAATTTTTTTAACAATTAAAAATCCAGAAAGAAATAAACAAAACTAAAAAGCAATTGAATGATTTTCTACTGTCCTAAAGTTTGTGGCTCCAAGGACTTCTCTTTGTTGCTCATCTGTGTCACCGTGATGCAACGGTCCTGCACCTCAGAGGAACCTTGTGACAGCATCTTGGCTGGGTTGAGGGGCGTGTGACTCACATTTGGCTACATTAGCTTTCTTCTCCCACCCTACCGTTAAGGTGTTGTGATAAACTGTTTCTTTTGGAAGTAGCTATTTGCATAAACTAGCCTCTTGAAAGGCTTTTTTTTTCCAATATTTTATTATTTTGTATGTATGAATGTTTTGCCTGCATGTATATAAGTGTACCACATGCACGCAAAGCCTGCAGAGGCCAGAAAAGGGCAACAGAGACCCTGGAACTGGAGTTATGGGAAGTTGTTAGCCTCTATGTGGCTGATGGGAACCAAATCTGGGTCCTCTGCAAGAGCAGTAAGTGCTCTTAACCCCTGAGCCATCTCTTTAACCCCATTTTGGTTTTTTGTTGTTTTGTTTTACAAATTTATCTTATGTGTAAAAGTATTTGTTTACATGGACATATGGGCAACACATGTATGCCTGGTGCCTATGGAAGACAAGAGGGCTTCAGATCCCCTGGAACTGGAGTTACAGATGGCTTTGAGCTCCTATGTAGGTGCTGGGAACTGAACCCAGGTCCTCGGCAAAAGCAGGAAGTGCTCTTAACCAGTCAGCCATCTCTCCAACCCCAACTATCCTCTTTAAAAATTGTGTGTGTTGTGTGTGTGTGTCTCATGTAGCCCAGGTAGGCCTCAGACTGTATACAACTGATGACCTGAACTTCTAACCCATCTGACTGCACATTCTGAGTGGTGCTTGATGAGATTATGTGTGCACTACTACACAGTTTAGGCATTGCTAAGGATTGAATCTAGAAGCATGAGCATTCTAGGCAAATACTCTATGCCCACACCCACACATGCATATCACACACATACACACACATTAATAGCAACAAGTAAGTAAAAATAAAACAACAAAACAAAGTATAGGGCCAGTGAGATGGCTCATCGGGTAAAAGGAGTTTGCCTTGAAGCCTGAAGGCCTTTGTAAAGATAACTAGTATTTATCCCTGGAACCCACACAGTAGAGGGAAACAACCAACTCTTCCAAGTTGTATGTCACTGTACACACACACACACACACACACACACACACACACACACACACACACACACACACACACATACATGCACGAATTTATAAAAAGAAAAACAAGGCCGAGCGTAGTGGCACACGCCTTTAGTCCTAGCACTCAGGAGGCAGAGGCAGGTGGATCTCTGTGAGTTCAAGGCCAGCTTCGTCTACAAAGTGGTCTACATAGTGAGTTCGAGGCCAGCTGGGGCTACAGAGAGACCCTGTCTCAAAAAGACCCCCCCCCCCCAAAAAAAATTACATACCAGTGTGCTTGGTACCAGGTCTGTGTTTTCTCTTTCCTCTACTCTAGAAAATGACTTTTTTTTCCCCCTCTGTTCTATTTAATTTACAAGAATTAAAATATTGTGGGCTGCAGATGTAGCTCAGTGATAAAGTATTTGTCTACCATGAGCAAGAACTTGCACTCAATCCTTAGCATTATAAAAAATAAATAAATCAATTAATTAAAAAGGTATAGCCAGCTAGGTTACTCAGCAAGTAAAGGCACCTGTCATCAAGACTGACATCCCAAATTTGATCTCAGAACCCACATGGTAGAAGGAGAGAACTAACTCCCACAAGTTGTCTTCTCATCTCCACTACGTGTGCCATGGCATGTGCATGCCTACACATACATACATACATACATACATACATACACACACACACACACACACAAACACACACACACAATAAATATAATTTAAATTTTTATTTAAAAACCTAAGAGGGATTAAAAGATTATTCATAGGATATAAGAGCCAAGAGTACCCTGGTAGGAGAAACAAGACTATGTCTCAACTTCCAAACTATAAAATAAATTATAATGTACACCCCAGCCTAGACTTAAAGATTGTAAGCATGACTAAAATTCATGTTTCTTAGCTCTTGGTCCAAAATTCTTTATATTCTTCTAGAAAAATGAATAGGGTTTTTTCTGCATCCAAACGTTAGTAATGTTAATCATAATACGTAACTGTTATATATTAAAAAACAATAATCTGTACTTAGGGATATGACTCTATTGGTACAGTGCTTACCTAGCATGCATGAAGCCCTGAGTTAGATCCCCAGCACCATATAAACCAGACATGATAGCACACACCTGCATCCTAGTACTTTGACAGTACAGGCTGGATGCTCAGAAGTTTAAAGTCATTCTCAGCTATACAGCAAGTTTAAGACCAGCCTGGAATACATGAGTCATAGCATCTCAAGAAAAAAATAATCCACCTACTATTATGTCCTGAACTCTTAATGTCTTTTAAAAAATTTATCACAGCCGGGCGTGGTGGCACATGCCTTTAATCCCAGCACTTGGGAGGCAGAGGCAGGTGGATCTCTGTGAGTTCAAGGCCAGCCTAGTCTACATAGTGAGTCCCAGGACAGCTGGGGCTACAAGGAGACCCTGTCTCAAAAAGACCAAAAAAAAAAAAAAGAAAAAAAAATTTATTACAAAATGAGTTGTATGATTAAATGCAAGAGAGGCAGGGGATGCTTTGTGAGTACTAAGGTTTCTGTATCTTGGGGAGTCAATTCTACGTTCACTTTAATTTTTTTTGATTATTCATTTTTATTTTATGCATATGAGTATTTTGCTTACATGTGTATAGGAATACCACATGCACACAATGCCCATGGAGACCAGAAGAGAGCATTCCAGATCCCCTGGAACTGAAGTTACAGACAGCTGTTAACTGCCATGTGAGTGCTGGGAACCAAATCTGGGTCCTCTGCAAACACAGCCAGTGCTCTTAACCACTGAGCCATCTCTCTAGCCCCCATGATATTCTTTTTTATTTCTTATTTTTGAGAACTGGAACCCACTCTGTAGACCAGGCTAGCCTGGATCTCATAGAGCTCTGCCTACCTCTATTTCCTGAGAGCTAGGACTAAAGGGGTACACCACTATGCCCAACTGAAGACATTCTTTTTATTTATTTATTTTTATGTATAGCACTGTTCTGCCTGCATGTATGCATGTGCACTCTATGCATATTTGATGCCCATGAAGCCCAGAGGGCATCAGATCCCCTAGACCTGGAGTTAAAGATGGTTGTGAGCTGCCATGTGGCTGCTGGGAACAAAACTTAGGTCCTCTGCAAGAGCAGCCAGAGTTCTTAACTGCTGAGCCATTTCTCCAGTCCCAAATGACATTCTTTAAAATAATAAATTGGTGGTTTAGGATATTTTCATTTTAATTGTTTGCTTGTTTTGAGACAGGATCTCTTGTATCCTAGGCTGGTTTCAAACTTGCTATGTAGTCAAGAATGATTTTGAACTTCTAATGCTCTTGCCTCCACCTCCTGAGTGCTGGGATTAACCACACTTTGTTATATGATGGTTTCTTTTTTTTTTTTTAACTTATTTTTGAGTGTTATGCATGTATATACATAAGTGTACCCATGACATGAAAAGCCCACAGAGAATAGAACAAGTCATCAGATCCCCTGGAACTGGAGTTATGGATGATTGTTAGCTGCCACGTGGATGCTGGGATTCGAACCCAGGTCCTCTGGAAGAGCAGTCAGTGCTCTTAATCACTGAGTCATCTATCCAGTTCCTGTGTTTGGTTTCTTAAAACAGAGATTGTGCAGTCCAGGCTGATCTCCAATTCATGGTAATCCTCTTGCCTCAGTCTCCTAAGCACTGAGATTTCAGACATGAACCGCCACACCTGACTTGGAAGGTTTTCATGTCTCTCCTTCTCATTTTCTAAAGAGCACTCCATATTATACAACAGTTGACTGAGCCACTTAGAGGAACAAGGACAAGGTCCTTAATATGACAGCCTGCACATGTCATTCTAAATGACAGATCCATTGGCATCAAGCATCCAAGACATCTGAGTGAAGCAAAGACAGAGAAGGAAAGGGTTTAACTGAATGACACATGGTACTCCCAAATCCTTCAAGGAAAAATTGAGTATAGCACCTATGACTGTCAAATGCTGTAAACAGCTTGGAACTTTCTGAGGCAGACTGTATCAGTAGCCAATGTTAGGGCAAACCTGACTCCTGAAGGCCACACAGTAATGTAGGCACCTTTTCTCTGACCACTACTCCTTACCAGTCTACTTGTCAAGTTACTGAACCAACCACATAACCTACAAAAGTGCTATTACATGCATTTCTCCTTTCTCTCCCCACAAATTCCCTTCAAAAGCTCCTGAGTAAATTGGGCATGTGGCAAACCCCAGTAATCTCAGCATCTGAGAAGTGGAAGCAGGATTAGGAATTCAACTTCATCCTCAGCCACATAGTGAGTTTGAAGCGAGCCTGGGTTACATGAGACCCTGTCTCACAAAAACCATCACCACCAATAAAAAAGCCCCTGAAGAGTACTGGAGTTCCAATAACCTGCCATGTTTACCTCATTAAAATAAAATGACAAATATCCACATTCATGGTATATGCTCCTGTCTTAGGTTGGAAATGGAGGTAACAGATCTTTCCCCCATTCCCTGCCCAGACCCAAACCCAGGACCTAACTCATCAGTTGTGTTCTACCTGCAGCAAATTTTAATAGCAAATTCACTGGAGGCAAAAGTACAACTAAGCAATTAATAACTGCCTTCCCTGAACTCAGTAGCAATGGTAGGCAGCACTCCTAGATTACGCCTTCCAAATCCTTGATAATAAGTTGATGTTTATTAAAACAGCAGGCATGTCCCAATGAAGTCACACCTGTCCCGGTACTTAGGTAGGGGGTCACAAAGTGCTCTTTCTTTATTTTACAATCTTAGAAAAAATGTGTGTGTAAGCCAGGCATGATGTTGAATGTCTTTAGTCCCAGCCCATGGGATGCAAAGGCAGGCAGATCTCTGTGAGTTGGAGGTCTACATAACATACTCTAGGGGGGGAGGTGGGAGGGGGTAAGGGAGGAAAAAGAAAGAAATAAATACCTGTGTAAAGATGACTAGTTTGGGGGCTGGAGAGATGGCTCAGTAGTCACTGGCTGCTCTTGCAGAGTTCAATTACCAGCACTCACATGGCGCTATACAACTGACTGCAACTCCAGTTCCAGGGGATCTAGCGCCCTCTTATGGCCTCAGTGGACATTGCATGACACAGGTGCACTTACACATGCGGGCCAAACACTCACACACATGAAGACATTTCATTTCAAAGATTACAGGCTAAGAAACCTTTTCTGTTGCAGACCCTCAACGGCTGAGTTTGAAAGAAGAGCTAGACAAAAAGGGCTAAGGTGTTTGGAGCTTGCTTACTTTTCTCCTCCATGTTCTCCCTTTGGTCACCACTTTCAGAGCAGCACTAGAACGAAAACGAGTATGACAAACAAATTAGACTCAAGTAACCTGAATTCACAAGGGCTCCCGAAGGGCACCTATCGGAAGGGTGGAGAGGTCCCTAGGGGCCCTTCTCAGGGGCATTCCTGACCACCTCCTTGGTGCCACCTCCCCAGGAAGTCTGGACCACCTCGCCTGACCCCGAATCCCTGTAGGGCCACTGGGGCTATCTGACCCCCAACCCCTGGCAGGCCTTTGACTGTCTCGGAGCGCGGGAACCACCGTCACAAACTTCCAGGTTCTCTTAGCAGGGACAAAGTCTGTGCCGTCTCACTGGGTCACCAGCGTCCCTTCCCGGGTTTCCAGGGACGCCTCACCGGGGCTGCCGACGCCTCGCCGATCTCGCCGGCTGAGAGCATCCTGCCTCCGCGCGCGTCCTCCGCTGCATGCACAGCCAGTATGGCCTGCAGAGTCCGGATCCCGGGCCCCGGATACCAGCCCAGCCTCCAGGGTTATCAGGCTGAGCGCCACCTCGACTTCCCCTGACCGTCTCTCTGGTTCCGTTCAGTCGGCCCAGATAGGTCAGTCTGAGCCACCGCAGGCCTCATCCCTCGCGCCCCCTCCTGGCCGGCGGTCAGATCGGCGCTCAAGCAACCCAGCCTCCCTCCTGACTGCCCCCAGGGCTTGGGTTAGCAGCCTCCACTTCACTGGAGTTCTTAAAAATAGAATTTGGGGCGTGGCGTGGTCTAACCCCAGAACTCTCGAGGCAAAGGCAGGCGAATCTCTGTGAGTTCGAGGCCAGCCTGCTCTACATAATGGGTTTCAGGCCAGCCAGGGCTACACCTTTTCAGGACTGGAGAGATGGCTTAGTGGCTAAAAGCACTATCTGCTCTTGCAGAGGACCCTGGCTCAGTTCCCAGCACCCTCATGTCGGCCAAACAACCCTCATAACCCTGTGTAACTCCTGTTCCAGTGGATCCGACGCCCTCTTCCGACCTCCTCGGGCATTATTTTATGTGTATGAGCGTTTTGTCTGTACACATGCAAGTGCTGCCACTTCCTTGCAGTGCCTTCAGAGGCCAGAAGAGGGCGTTGGATCCCTTGGAACTGGAGTTACTGACTTGTTAGCTACCATGTGGGTACTGGAAACCAAACCTGTCCTCTGGAAGAGTAGTGTTCTTAACCTCTGAGCCATCTCTCCAGCCCCATAAATGAAATTTTTAATTTTTAAAAATTAAAAAATAAGCTGGTCGTGGTGGCGCATGCCTTTAATCCCAGCACTAGGGAGGCAGAGGCAGGCGTATCCCTGTGGTTCAAGGCCAGGACAGCTGGGGCTACAGGGAGACCCTGTCTCAAAAAGAACAACAACAACAACAAAAAGTAAACAAAAATAAAAAAATTAAAAAGTTGGCTCTGACATGATGCCTCACATTTGTTGTTTCCTGCTCTTGGGAGGTGGAGGCAATAGTACTAGGAATTCAGACTCAACCTCAGCTACACAGTGAGTTCAAGGCCACGCTGGGCTATATGGGACTTTATTTAAAAAAAAAAAAAGAAAGAAAAGAAAAAGATATTCAAGGCTTCCTTGTGGTGCCAGCATTTCTAAAGTAGAGGTAGGAGGATTGCCACTAGCCCCAGGACAGCTTGGTCTGTAAAATGAGATCTCAATTGGTAAAGAAGTTGCTATCAAACCTGAGTACCGGAGTTTGATACCTGGACCGACATAGAGAATCAGCTCCTGCAAATTGTCCTTTTAACTTCACCACAGCCCCACAATAAATAAATAAATAAATAAATAAATAAATAAATAAATACTTAAAGTATTTGTTTATTTTTATTTTTATGTGTATGAGTGTTATGCCTGTATGTATGTAAGTGCACCTATGCTGTGCAGTGCCTATGAAAGCCAGAAGAGGACACTGGATTGCCTATAACTGGAGTTACTGTCAGTTGTTAGCTGCCATGTGGGTGATAGGACTTGAACCTGGGTCTTCTGTAAAAGCAGCCAATGCTCTTAACCAGTGAGCCATCTCTCCAGCCCTATAAATATTTTTAAGCTAATAATAATGAAACTTGAGGGTAGTCCTCCCTCCATGATATAGATTCTGTTTGAATCTTTGTGTTTCTAGAAATATTTAGGCAATGTCATAATGTTCTCAGAATCAGAATGAACACGGTGGCTAGACATTTCAAGGTAGATTATCTGGTTTGGCTTAATTAGGAGATTTTCAATGAATATCAGTACCTAGCTCTGTTTTTAAGGTCAGAATCCCTAGAGATGATGCTCCAATTTTCAGCCTGGAGTGCCCAGATCTGTTTCTAAGCATATGGAAACATCATTGAAACTAAATGGAGAACAATCAGCCTCTAACATGCATCTTACCCAGCGGAGCATCCTAAACCCTGCTAGTGGCCAGGGAGATAGGACTGGAGTTAATTAGGAGGAAGGGTTAGGTAGAGAATCTGGAAATGTGACAATTCCTTAGACACTGAAACAAATGGGGGAGAGGCAGGGAAAAAAATCTTTAGAGGAAACAAATTGCTCAGTGAGGAGAGAAAAAAAAATATATATATACACACACATATATGTATGTATATGTATGTGAAT